TCAGGCGGGAGCCTCGTCTGTGAGTGAATTGTGAGGAAGTCTCAGGCGGGAGCCCCCTCCCTATGGGGCCCGCAGATCATGTTGGTAATCCGAGCGGGTCATCGGAACCCTGTAACTGTCGTCACTTTTGGGCTCGTCAAGCCTGAATTTGGAGGAAGTCTCTGGCGGGAGCCTCGTCTTTGAGTGAATTGTGAAGAAGTCTCAGGCGGGAGCCCCCTCCCTATGGGGCCCGCAGATCATGTTGGTAATCCGAGCGGGTCATCGGAACCCTGTAACTGTCGTCACTTTTGGGCTCCTCAAGCCTGAATATGGAGGAAGTCTCAGGCGGGAGCCTCGTCTGTGAGTGAACTGCGAGGAAGTCTCAGGCGGGAGCCCCCTCCCTATGGGGCCCGCAGATCATGTTGGTAATCCGAGCAGGTCATCCAAAACCTGTAACTGTCGTCAATGTTGGGTTCTCGCGCTGCCAGAACGCAGTTCCCAGGCCACACTTTGGATGCAACAAGGAAGTTTTTGGGCTCCTCAGGTCGCCGAGGTGCTGCGACAGGGCGCCGAAGGCGCCGACGACGACGGCCAGGCCGAGGCGCGGGCGCGGAGCTTGCTGATGTTCAGGCCCAGCGAAAGGGAGTTCACATGGCAGAGCTCGGGGGCGCACAGCGTGCGCCGCTCGGGGTTCACCCTGACGCACGCGTCCTACCTGACCTCCACGCTGTCGCAGGGCCAGACGCTGCGCAAGGGCGTCACCATCGACTGCGCGAGAGACGAGGACGCTGGCCGCACGGGCATGTCGGACGAGCAGTGGTGGCTGCACCTCTACGTCATGTTCTCCCGCGCCACGTGCATGCGGAACATGCTGATCCTGCGGCCGCCGCCGCGAGAGTTCCTGGAGTGCGGGCCGCCGGCGTCCCTGCGGAAGGCGCTCCTGGAGTTCGACAAGAGAACGGTTTTGTCCAGGGCGGAGGCGAAGCAGCTCGCGGCAGAGCTGGGCTTCGTGCTGCCTTCCGCCTGAGCGCGGCTGCGCCTCGCTCGAAGCCCGCGGGGTTGTCCCAACGGCTTGGTCTTGCGCGCCAACGGCTCGCGGGGTTGTCCCGACAGCCTGGCCCGCGGGGTTGTCCCAACGGCTGCGCGACGTGACCTGTAGAGAACGCGCCTGTGCTGGCCGTGGCGGCGACGGCGCCGAGGAACATCGACATGCGCGCTCATGCAACAGGAAGGGGAGGAGGTGGCGGGGCGCGGAACAAACAGGGGGGCGAGGATGGGGACAACGTAAGGAGTGGAAGGGGGGCCCGCGCCAAGGCGAGAGGAAATATACGCAGAAGAGACAGCCAGGACGCCTCACCAACCACGAGGACGACGGTGATGGCTTTTTCCAGATTCGCCCAGAGGATTCTTATGTGGGGTTCTTCCGTCGGAGTAATTTTTGGTTTCCCCAGAAATCGTCGAAAGAGCGCTGTCTGCCGCTGCTGGCAAGGGGGTGTTCAAGCCCCCCACCGCCCCCCCCAGGAACACTGTTCAGAGGGGAGGAGGGGGTCCAGATCCCTCTCCCCTAGGAAAATTATCCGGTGCCCAGAAGCCCCCCCCCCAGGGCAGCGACCGACGACGACGTCGTCGCCGCCGCCAGCAACCGACGCAGACGACGACGCCAGCGACGACGACGCCGACGCCGACGCCGACGCCGACGCCGCCGCCGCCGCCGCAGACGACGATGACGACGCCGACGACGCCGACGACGCTGACGACGACGACCAGAACGACGACGACGACGACGACGACCACAACGACGACGAACACGACGAAGACGACGGCGGCGACGACGACGACGACGAGCAGAGTAGGCGTAGACTTTCCTCCTCTTCTTCCCCGTCTGTTCCTCCGCTTTCCAACAGCATCGTATTTGATATATATATATATATATATATATGTATACTGCAGTGGCCGTTTGGGCCGTGCGGTAGGGGTTCCGGCAAAATGCTGGCACCTGTGGCCCGGTACGTGTTTGTGGGCAAGTTCGTACCAGCCGCCATTTGCTTCCCTTCGAAGAAGACAAACCACATAAACAGAATCAATTGGCGCTCCGCGCGGATTTCTAGAATCCGCGCTGGGCCCCCTCCAGCGGCGCCTCCGGCGACGCCCCTGGCGCGCTCCGCGCGCTAGGGAGGGGGTCCAGCGCGGATCCAAGAAATCCGCGCGGAGATATTTATGTGTTGTTATCTTCTTCTATTCCTACTCCGCGAGCTCAGGGGTTCGTGCAAGTTTTTGCTTGCGTTGCCTTGCGTTCGGCCGCGTTCGCGCTGCGCGTCGGGGCTATCCCCCCTTGGAGGGGCAGCGGAGTCCTCCGTCTCTTTTGCTGGGCTGTTGGGGCAAAAGGAGTAGAGCAGGCGTAGACTAGAGTATCATAAGACGCGTAGGATAAGGCAGAGCAGAGTCGAGGAGACTAGGGTGGGACACAGTAGTGTAGAGCAGGGTAGAGTAGAGGAGAGTAGGGATATGTAGATCATATACAGTAGGGAAGAGTAGAGGAGTCGAGTAGAGCAGAATTCAAGTAGAGTAGAGCAGAGCTGAGTAGAGCAGAGTAGAGTAGAGAAGGAGCGGAGTCGAGTAGAGTATGTTTGGTTACGGTAGGGTAGAACAGGGCCGAGTATCTTAGAGTAGGCTCGAGTAGAGTAGAGTAGAGGAGAGGGAAGGAGAGGAAAGAGTGGAGTCGAGTAGAGTAGGGTCGAGTAGAGCAGGGTAGAGTACAGTTGGGCCCTGGTGGGAATCTGAGAGGGCTCGATCGAGCCCTCGCAGCAGCCTGTCAGAGCCGCCGCCTGGCGCGGGCGTCGGCGACAGGTGCGCCGCCGCCGCCGCTGACGTTGTCGCCGTCGACAGAGTCTTCGTCGCCGTCGTCGTCGTCGTTGCAGTGGAGACGAGGGGGGGGCCCTGAACCCTCTGAGTAATTTTCCCGGGGCTGGTCTGGGGTCTCTTGATCCCCTCGACTCGTTTTCTGGGTGGGGGGGGGGGGGGGCCTTCCCGGTGCTTTGTGGGTGGTGGGGGGGTAGGGAGGGCCCAGTGGTTTCTGACCCCCCCTTTATCAAGATGTGCCAGGCTGGCGACGGTGAGAAGCGCTCCCTCAAAGCGTCCAAAGGCTTCGGGCCCTGATGGCCGCCTCGATTCTCGAGCGTCGGTCCTCGATCCTCGGGCTGATATCCTCGATTCTCCGTCTTCGATCCTCGGCTCTCTCGCTTCGTATCCTCCGTGCTCGAGCCTCGATCCTGGTGTCGGTTCTCCTCGGCATTGGTGCCATCGACGTTGCGAGCGTGGGCGGTGCTGTCTGCGCGGCGCTTCGTCTCGCAGCAGTCGGCCGCGATGGCCTCCCGCGGCGGGCCCGGCCCTCTGCCGTCGCAGACTCCCCCTTCGGTACACAGCGTCTCGAGCCTCGATGCTCGAGCTGCGAACCTCGATCCCCGAGCTTTTATCCTCGAGCCTCGATCCTGAGGCGCGCATCATCGATAGTCGGTCCTTGGTCCTCGGGCGTTTTTGTTCCTCGATGCTCGAGCCTCGGTTCGCGAGCCTCTATCCTCGACCGTCTCGCATTTTACACCCGATGCTCGAGCCTCGATCCTCGACTCGGTCCCCTCCGTCATTGATGCCGTCGGTGTTGCTAGCGAGAGCGGCGCTGTCCGGGCGGCGCTTCGTCTGGCAGTCGTCCGCGAGGGCTGGTCGTGGCAGGCCCAGTTGTCGGCCGTCGTCGCTCGGAGGCTTGGTCGTTTGTTTTGTTGGTTAGTTCGTTGACTAGTTGGCTGGGTGATCGCCTGGTCGACTCTTTGTTTGGTCGGTTTTATTATGGTCTGTTAGTTGGTCGGCTGATTGCACGGTTGTTTGGTTGGTTTGTCGATCGTTTGGTTTGTTGGTCGGTTGGTTTGTTTAGTTTGCCGGTTGGTTGTTCGGTTGTTCGGTTGTTGGTTGGTTGTCAGGTGGGGGCTTCTGTACCGCATTCGTCACGCGGCAACGCCGGAGGGCGGTAGCATGCAATTCCACATTCGCCATATGGCAACGATGGGGGGCGGCAGACAGTTTTTATCCTGGCGGAGGACCCAAGCATCTGCAGTTGTGAGTGCCGCGTTGTGGGGACCGCTTTCGGTGGTTCTCCCTGTCGTGCCACGAAACGTGTGAAGGGTGCGCCGAAGTGGGCGGGGGGGCGTATGCGCACTGTGCTGCTGGGGCCTTTGGTGAAGCTCCATGTTGGGCGACGGAGCGATCGGTGGGGAACCGCATGTGGACTCGCCCGCTGGGGCCTTCGGTGGAGCCCCCATATGAGGCCACGAGGCATGTGAGGGGTGTCTCGGCGTGGGCGGGAAACCGCATGTGGACCCTCGCACTGTGGGCTTTCGGTGGGGCCCCCGAAGGTGTGACGAAACTGCGGAACATGTGAGGTGTGTGCCGAGATACGTGAGGAAACGCACGTGGGCCCTCCCACTCGGGCCTCAGGTGGCGCTCCCTATTGGTCTACGAAACCTGTGAGGGATGTGCCCACTGGGGCCTTCGGTGGAGCTCCCATATGGGGCCACGAAACGTGTGAGAGGTGTGACGACATGGGCGGGGGACCGCATGTGCACCCTTCCACTGAGGCTTTCGGTGGAGCTCCCTATGGTGCCGCGAAGCGCGGTGCTTCTCCGGGCTCGCCTGAGGAGGACCGAGCTTCTCGAGCCTCGATCCTCGGGCGTTTTTTTTCTCGACGTTCGAGCCTCGATTCGCGAGCCTCTGTCCCCTATCCTCCGCGGCGACGTCGACGGCGACGTCGACGGCGACGGCGGCGACGCTGCGGCGGGCGGTGGGCGGCGCGCAGGCGGCGCGCCCGCCAGATGAATGTCCGAGGATCGAAGCTCGAGGATCGAGTCTCGAGGCTCGGTGTCGAGGATCTGAGCCCGAAGATCGAGGACGGAAGCTCGAGAATCGAGGCTCAGGGCTCGAGGCGCGAGCTTCGGTCCTCCACCGGGCCCGCCCGCCCCGAGGACTTCGCCCAGGAGACCATGCGCATATCCGCCGACGACGCGGCGGCCCTCAAGTTTGGGCGGTTCCCCGACAAGGTGGCGCGGGTCGCAGAGGCCGAGGCGCGCCCGCGCGCGCGGGGAAGGCAAGGCTGCCCTGAGATGGCGGCGAGCCCAGGGTTAAGTTGGGCGTGTCCCCCCATAGGAGGAATATCCAAAAATAAGTTTAAAATAGTTGGGGTGCGAGGATCGTGGCCTCCGAGGGGGGAGCCGCAATCGACTACCCCCAAGAGCCCCCCAAGAGGCCCTGGGGGCCTCCAAAACGCCGCCAAGGAGCCCCAAGAGACTCCCAAGAGGTCCCCAAGAGGCCCCCAAGAGGCCCTAAAGAGGGCTCCAGGGCCGGCGGCATGAGCGAAGCGATTAAATAATTTTAAAATAGTTGGGGTGCGATGTGTTGCGTATTTGTGACTATTTTTGAGCATGTGTGGGGTACGTTTGTCTTTTTGTCCAGAAGCCGCGTGTAGGAGGACATGCCCGACCTGAGCCCAGGAGGGTAGTGAGATGGGGCGAGGGCATGCTTTGGCGCCGGCTGCGGTCTGAGGTGGCCCAGCACCGGTTCCGGCGAGCACAAAGGGGGGAGGGCAGGCTCAAGGTTTTGTCAGGAGGGAAAAAACACACAGAGACAATTCATCTTCGATTCCCCCGAAAATATGGGAAAATATGGGAAGTGGGGGGGAAGACAGCAACCCCGAAAATATGGAAAAATATGCGGAATATGTTTTTTGTGTATTTATTTGTGTGTCCTGGGGCCCCTTCATTTTGGGCCGGGAAGAGCTTGTCATTTCTTCTGGCCCCCGGGGGGCCGCTTTCGGGCCCCAGGGCTGTCAAAGACAGAGTTGGGAGGAAAAGCTGCACTCGATGGACCCAGGAAGGGGTCCAGGGACCGATGTTCACCGTATTTGGCTTCATCCGCCCCTCCTGACCGATTCTGGGGTCCCAACAGGTCATACCCCCGAAGCCACAGACGGATTCTCAGAAGGCGAGAGAGCTTCTGAGAAGCCCCGTCGCCTGCGGAGAAGCCCTGCCCCCTTTCACTCTCCCCCTGAGCTCGCCGCCGACCGATGGGGCGGAGCAGATGGTGTCGGAAGATCTCGATGATCCCGGGGTGGTTCGAGGCTCGAGGTTTTTCGGGGGCGGCAAAGAGGGGGGTGATGACTACGTGGGGGGGAGGGGGGGGGATATCATGGCGGGGGCCATGATATTTCCTCTGATTTCATGGCGCCTCTTCTTATTCCATGACGTCCCTGGCCCCCCCCCGCTGGGCCGCGCACATGCCGCCGGTCATGCTTTGCACCCCCCCTTCTTGGACCCCCCCCCCTCTCGGCCGCTCCCGAGTCTTCGGGCGTGTTCGTCGGTGCTCTGCGGTTTTTCAACCTCGGGATGCGTTCCAGCAGCTGCGCCTCGCCGAGGGCTTTCCGGGGGTGCCAGGATCGTGCCGAGCGGCCGCCGGAGAGCGGGGGGCTGTAGCCCAAGAACCACGAGGCGCCCGAGTCCGGGCCGCCTTTGGGGGCCAGAGTTGGCGGCCAGAGCAGGTAGTGTTGGAGGATCTCGATGCTCCTCAGTCGCGTGGTGGCCCAGCGTGTGTTTATTCAGGGGGGGAAGAGGTACCGACAGCTACTGCTACACTTGCCTCGTCTTCGCCCTTTTGGGTGTACTGGGAGGGCATCGTCGCCGCTGCTGGATTCGCCATCGGATTCTTGTCATAACGCACCCCGGGCGAGGTCCAGGGAGTAGCGGTGATAGCAAGTAGCTTGTGCCGGCCTTCATCGCGCCGCCTGTGTCGTATTGGAGAGTCATCGAGGATTAACCTCATGCCCGTGAGAATAAACACTAGGGGATAATAAAGTTCGGGTTTCAGGGAGAGATAATAAAAGTAGCCCAGCAGACCTCAGCATAATCTCGAAGTAAGAGATGATCAAGAGGAGACCAATCTCGAGTAATTGCTGTTTTCGCTTGAGACATCGAGACATCCTCGACGAATCACTCGTTTCGCTTGAGACATCCTCGTCGAACCTCTCGGTTCGCTTGAGACATCCTCGAGCAATTGCTGTTTTCGCTTGAGACATCCTTAAGAAACGCATCGTTTCGCTTCAGAAATCTATATGTTTGTTTCGCTTCGAACATTCTCGAGTATATGCTTGTTTCGCTTGAGACATCCTCGGAATAGCTCATCCGCCTCGGCGCCCCTAGATAATCAACGGCGGCGATAATGAAGTTCAGGCGGGCGGAGGAATGGAGGAAGCTATATATAAAAAAGAAAAATAAAAATAATGAAGAACAAAATAAAATAATTGATAGGAGGAGGAGAAGGAGGAAACGAAGAAAAAATCTCGAGTTTCAAATCTATTAGATTTTTATTTACAAACGCTTAATGCAAATTGTGTTTTGTAAGTGCTCGTGTAGGGTAGCTCATGTGCCTCAATTTCCATGGATAATCAACCCCAGAGATAAAACAGTTCAGGCGAGCGTGGGGACAGAGAGAAATATAAAAGAAGAAGAATACAGTATAATAATACTAAGAAAGAAGAAGAGGATAATACGAAGAGGACGAAGAAAGGAAAAATCCAAAGTTCCAAATCTATCAAATTTAATTTACAAACGCTTTATGAAAATTGATTTTTCAAGTGCTCGTGTAGGGTAGCTCATGTGCTTCATTTTCCATGGATAATCAACCCCAGGGATAAAAAAGTTCAGGTGAGCGTGAGGACATATAGAAATATAAAATAAGAAGAGGAAAGTAGAAGAATAATAAGAAGAGGAGAAGAAGAGAAGAAGAATAAGAGAAGAAGAACGGAAAAATGGAAAGTTCCAAATCTGTCAATTTTAATTTACAAACGCTTTATGGAAATTGATTTTTTAAAGTGCTCATGTAGGGTAGCTCATGTGCTCCCCTTTCCATGGATAATCAACCCCAGAGATAAAAAAGTTCAGGCGCGCGCGGGGATAGATACATAGATAAAAAGGAAGATAATAAAACATATAAATAAAAAGAAACACTTGCTGGTTTAGCTTGAAACATTCTTGAGACATCCTTGGAACATTGCTCGTTTCGTTTGAGTCTGCCTCCCAAAATTATTGGTTTCGCTTGACACATCCTGAAAAGTGTGATCGCTTCGCTTGATGTTGCTATATCAACATCGCTTGATGTTGCTATCTCAACATAGCGTTTCGAGGTGATAATGAAGTTCGGCCTCAGCGCTCGCCGCCCAATTTGAATTTTGTATAGGGCGACGATAATCAACTCTAAACACTGAAGGGGGGGGGGTTCCTTTATTATCATCGGCATGCGGTTATCGAGACTCTGGCTGCATCCGTGGTGCGTCGGCGATGCGGCGTGGTGCGGGGCCCTGTGTTCCTTACACCCCGCCGATGCATCGACGATGCGGTGCGATCCTCCAGCCCCATTGGCTCCCACAGGAAGGGCGCGAGGTGGAGGGGTGGGAGCTGGTAGGAAGCTGGATGCACGTTCCGTGGCCGGCCTGGCGAGAGCTGGTCGCACATTTGGCTCGATGTCTTTCCAGCGCTCGGCCCTCGAATGGCCGCCGGGTGCACTGGCTCTGCGCTTGTATACCACGCGCATGGCGTCCGGATGTTCCGTATGCGAATGCATCCACGTGTGTCATCCAGTTTGCCGGTGGGTCACCAGCAGAGGCGCACAGATAATTCAGAGGGTGAACTATTTACCTCGCCTTCGCTTCCAGGCAGCACCGAGGCACACCGCGCGCCTCCTCGCCAAGCAGCCTGACTGTTGCGGGCCCGATGGGTATCTTGGTATCGTTTGGTTCCCGTTGAGCGTCAGGGTGGTCAAAAGTGAGGAATTCACCTCTTCATGGTCGCGGCTCGCCCATCGTGATCCGGGCCGCACAGTTGCTTTCCTCCAGGACGGCGGCACGAGATGGCGACGAGAACCTCGCGTCGCACATCGCGGGGCACGATGGGCAGAGTTCGATCCACCGGTGACATAGGGCCTAGGGCCAGTGGCGGATAGGGAAGATATACCGTCGTCCATTCCGTTCGCGTTACAGGGGCTCTGTACTGGAGCGGCAGTCACGGCCAACACGGGGTCAGACAGCCCCATTGGGTCACGGGGTTATCTCGGCCTTGTTGGGCTCCCAGGGGCTCCCGAGACGGGTCACGCAACATGCCCGCTTACATGGGTGCGTGACAGCCGCAACTGGGTAACGCTACAGTGGAAACCCATGCCAAGAAATACCCCGCTCGCCTCCAGGGTGCCCGAGGGTTTCTTGGGCTTCGATGGCTTTGCTGTGGAGGGCGCGACGTCACCACACCAACAAAAAGCAATGGACGTTCTGGGGCCTCAGGGTTGGGTTTCTTGCGGGAAGTGTCTCGTGGTCGAGCTCCTACTGGACAAAATTAAAGGGAAATTAGGACACACAAATAAATACACACAAATAAAAATAGTCCCCATATTTTCCTATATTTTCTGGGTTTTTGTCTTCCCCCCCAATTCCCATATTTTCCCATATTTTCCTGGGAATCGAGGATTAATTGTGTCTGTGTGTTTTTTTCCCTCCTGAAAAATGGACGTGGCCTCATGGAGGATAGTTGCGGAGGCGGGCTCGAGGGTCGAAGCCTGGCTTGCTTCGTGTGCCGCCTGCGGGCCTCTGGAGGCCCCCCCCAGCAGTTTCTGGAGGCCCACGAAGCGCCCACCCCGAGGAGGCGAGGCGCGAGAGCACGTGATGACGAGGAGAGTTTTACCGCCGCAGGACAGGATGAGCAGAAGAAGCAGCAGCGGCAGCAGCAGCAGCAGCAGCAGCAGCAGCAGCATCGAAGAGCCCCTCCATTGACACATCTGACGATCGAAACTGTTGGGCGGGTCGCTTCCTCTCCACTGATCGGCCACCACGAACGCAGAAGGAAGCTCACTGCGGCGTGCTTGCGGAGGCACTGCAGGGCTCTCCGCGCACAGTCGGCTCGCGAGGCGGGGCCCTCGTGATCCGTGGCGAGCGAGCGCCCAGGGGGCCGTAGCTCGGAGGGCTTGTGCGTCGTGGTCTTGAAGCGATCGCGAACATGGATCAGGGGGGCGTGTGGATTAGCGACGGGTTCCGTTTCTTTGGGAAATCGCGGATTTCCGCCGCCGAGCGAGGCGGCACCAGCCGCATTTTGGAGAGGACATCTCCCCCGATCCATGGATCTGGCGACATCGCGCCAAATCCATGGATCGCTAATCCATGTTTGCGCGCCCCCGAGTGTTCCCACGGTGCTGGCTGACACCGCATTTTCGTTTGTGACACGGCTCTCATTGGGGATCTCGACCGCTTCCCCAAGTGCTAGTTTTTCACCCAGGGTCGTTTTTGTTGACGGTCCTGGGGCTGGGAAGCGGCCCCCCAGATGCCGAAAACATGCATGAACTTTCCGTCGCCACGTGTGCGCCTTGTTTGGATTAGAGGGAGCTGGATCAGAGGCCGACTGAGGTCTGAGGAGGTGGAGAGATAGGATATTCGGCACAACCTTCTCGGGATCAGTTCTCTAAGGGGCTATCGTTCGAGATTTTCGCAGTAGAATTGGTCATCTAGTCATGCTAGATGTTCTCTCCACAAGACTATATTTCGATCCGGTCAATCCGATTTGATATCGATTTCGGCTGGCCCGACTTGAGCCGAATCCGATGATCCCGACGATCCCACGTGGTCCGATTTTCGCATCACGCAGTTGAGCATCCTGGCGCAGCCTGTCAGATTCGATCCCTGCTCAGTGCCGATGCGGCCCGATCCAACGCACATTCCGATCCGTTCCGATTATACGATTCGATGTTGACGGAGCTTCTGTGAGGGCTCTGATTCTGCCATGCCCACTTTCTTAATAAACCTTCCTCGCCCGAGACAATCGAGACGGGCCCTCCCGCGGCACCACGCATGCAGAGATTGCAGCACTCTTGCGGAAGTTGTTTTTATTGACGTATCTTGCCAGGTGGTTGTGTGGAGTGTTATGCGCTTTGTGTGTGTGTGCGTCAGTGCGCGCGTGGACATGGTCTTGTGGCTACAGAAATGGGTCTTATGATTTCGCATAAGAGATGTCAGCGCGGTCGCGTTGCCATTTGGTCATCTCTTTTGGGTACGGAGTGTGCGGGAGAAGCAGTAACACACGCGAGCACGCAGAGGACGACCCTTGCGCCCGGGTAGTCATGTGTGTGTGTGTTCGTGTGTTCGTGTGTCTCTGTGTGTGTGCCCGCGTTTCTCCCACTCACCCGTGAACTTGCCCCACGCCGCGCCGCCGCCCGCGTGGCTGCGACGCCGAACAGCGCGCGCGTGTGTGTGTGTGTGTTGTGTTGTGTTGTGTGCTTCTTCCCCTCGGCTTCCCCTCCTCCGTCGGTCGGCCCGCTGTCCCTCGCGTCTCCGTCTGCCCTGTCTCCCTCGGCTGCCTTGCTGCCGCGGCCTGCTCCTCGCTTCTCTCTTTCGCTCTGCTTTTGGCCCCGCTTTTGCCCTTGTCTTGCGAGCTCCTCGTCGTCCCGTTTGTCTAGCTCGGGCAGTTGTTGCATCGTACGAGTTCCGCCCAGTGTTTCTCTCATTCACGGACGGCCAGTAGCCGGGCCCAGCCCGCAACGACTGAACAAGTCTGCGTGTGTGTGTGTGTGTGTGTGTGTGAATTGTCCGTAAGGCGGTCATTATTTGGTCGTTGATCCCTCAACCGTCTCCGAGATTCCCTCCGTTCCCCTGCTCACGGGATCATCCGCGTGTTCGCGCAGCGGCGCCGCCCGAGGTCGAGTTGGTTGAGAAGGAGCTCACCGTCAAGATTGGCGGTTCGTTGGTGCCAATCCACCCAGAATGGAGAGGATCATAGAATGAGGTGCTCCATATCATGCGGCTTCCAGGCTGTCTTGACCCCCCGGCCAGCAGACCTCGAGGGCAGGCTGTCTGAGAAGTTGGTTTGCCAGGGGCACGGCCTTCGCGCTGCGACTCCCACGGCCGCAGATGTAGCTCTGCTTACCTCGCCGACTTGGGGGCCCCACGTTATCGGACCGTCTCCTCCGTAACCATCTTGGCTCGAGCATCTCTGGGGCCGACGCCAGTTGGCCTCTGTTCAGCGTGTCTTGTGAAACAGCCCAGTGAGTTTTCGTTACGTGCCAGAGTCGATGGCCGCGTACCTCGTGGCGATCGCTCAGTTGCTTCTTTTCTTATGCCCAGCGTTAGCGTGGGCTCGGCGCTGGTCGGGCGTTGACAATGCCCTCGAGGTCGAGGGCGAGGTCACCGAGTCCCTCAGTCAGGTCGCCGAAGGTCTTCGACGAAGGAAAAAGAAATGCACGCCGAAGAAGGTGGAGTCGATGCGAAAGGCTTTCGCGCGCCTAGGCGGCCTCGGCCCCACCGACTTTGAGCAGCCGAAGCTGGTGCCGCCGCTCACCGCGGAGGAGCACGCCAGCTTCCGGGTCCACACCATGCATTACGCAGGCGAGCTGCCGGGCATCGGCGCTGCCTCGCTGGCGCAGGGCGCGAGGGCGAACCGGTCACTCGCGCGGGGGAGCTGTGCCGGGCAGGTGTATTCAGTTGCTGCCGCCGCGGACGAGTCCGGCCTGAGCGACGTTGAGAGTTTGGCGTCTTTCCACCAGGGCGGCGCTGCGTGGTTGGAGAGGGTGCCCGTCCATGAGGACCAGGGAGGCTCTGGCCCCGATGTGGCCGAGGGCGCCCCTGACATGGTGGATCGGGACGAGGTTGGCTGGCACGACGTGGAGGCGAAACTGATCGGGTGCAGCAAGGATTGCGCCGCCACGGTGATGGCCCCCCGAGTTCAGAGCCTCGTGTACGCCTTCCGCAAGTGGGCGACCAGGAAGGGGAGCTCCACCGCCCACCTGCTCGTGGCGGACCCCAGGGGGAAGCTCTATTGGCTCGACTTTCGTACGCTCCAGGATTTCATCTCGAGGGCCAGAACACTGCATGAACATGACCTCTCGGAGGCCCGCGCTGATTTCCTGGATCGGCGCTGGACCTCCCTCCCTGGCGCGCGGAGGGGCGGCGTCGGAGCCGCCCTGGAGGGGCCCGGCGACGGTCCGAGAGATCCGCGCGGAGCGCCGAAGGCTGCGGTGTATGCCATGTTCTGCTCTCCTATCCTCCGCGAGGGTCAGAGCACGCAGGCGTGGGGGCTCTTCCTGGTCCGAGCGCCTGGTGCCGGGGCGCAGGAGGGCCCAGGCTCGTGGCTGTTCTCCGATCTTGCTGGCGGCCCCTTGCCGTGCGACCTGCTGGTGGAGGCGTCGGACGACGGGGGCGGAGAGGGTGCGTGCTCCGCCACGCTCAAGGCCTACAAGAGGTGGCGGAATCGCGCGGCCACCGCGGTGCCGACCGACTTCTTGCAGGCCACGGTGATGGATTCGACAGTGGAGCAGTTCCAGAAGCAGGAGGGTCCCACGTGTGCCGCGCAGGCAGTGGCGAACGTGCTGAACGGGATGATGAGGGGGCAGTACGTCGCTGGGCAGGATGTGCTCGACTACTACTCTGCGAAGAAGAGAGACAAGGGGCTGGTCTGGGGAGAGGCCAGGAAGGTGACGAAGACAAAGGGCAACAAGACCGTGAAGACCACAGCAAAGGTTGGCAACGGAAACGTGCTCAATGCGCTGAGGAATTGTGGCGCGCGAGGCAGCGCGATGTCATACAAGGTGAGACGAGGCACCCTCGCAGAGAAGAAATGGTTGCTCAGAGCCAAGGCGGACGAGACAGCCAGGCAAGTGGTGCTGCCGGGCAGAGTGATGAGCGAGACGTTGTACTCCAAGGCCACGAGCGCAAGCATTCGCACTGGAGAGGGGCACGTCAAGGAGTGGGCGAAATTGAAGATGTGGCTTGACCACTGTGCAGCGGGCAACTGCGGCATCGTTTTCCATTTGACAAACCATTATGCTCCAATATATGGGTATCGCGAGCTGAACGGGCAAGTGCAGATCTTGGTCCCTTCTGCTGGACAGTCCCCTCGCATGTGGCAGGACTTCCGCACTGTGCGGGAGACCATCCTGAAGTGGACAGGGCACGCCTTCATGGTTGGCTTCATGAGCAAGCCCAGGTCATGGACGGCTCGGCAGGGTGAAGGCACGACCGTGCACGAGCCCCCCGCGGAAGAAGACGCCGACGTCGGGGACGGCGACGTGGACCCTGGAGAAGATGGTGACGGCGACGACGACGCAGCGGCGCCCGCGGAGCCCGACGAGGACGGCGAGGACATGCAGGAAGAGGACGGTGAGCTGAGAGGAGGCAGCGCGCGGGTCGCGGGGCAGGGCCTTGGCTGACCACAGAACGGGCTCTTGCGTCAGGCCTGCGGTGCTCCAAGTACTTGCGGCAGGGGCTGAGCTCTCTGCTTCTTGGCACGCGCCATCGTCCTGGAGCGCAGTGCGTAGGCAGCAGGGCATGGACGACATGTTTCCGTAGCCTGCCTCACTGTGCATCGAGCACTCCCATCTTGGAAGCACCATCAACACTCTACAGGAATTTCCGACATGCTGGAGTCATCTCCAGAGCTGGCGCCGTCTCGGCAGATGCCTCTCATTAGCCAGCGGGCGTTGGAGCCTTTGAGAGCGCCGTAGGGCGGTTTCTTTCTGGTGCCCTTTATGTGTTCTCGCACATGTCTGGCTCCCTTCTATTGGAGATTTCCTCTTGGCTTCCTTCTCACGATCCGTGAGGCACACACTCGATCAACATACTTTGCCCTTAAGTGTGACGACTGTTCGAAATTGAGTCGTCGTGCTGTTATGCCTGCACGTGGGGAGCGAGATATGAACACGTGCAAGCGCATCATTGTCGCCGTACGCCGGAGCAGACTAGGGACCAAGCTGAGGACAAAACGCGAGGTGTCATTCACCATGATTGCGTGCATCAGAAAAGGAGCCCAACCCTTCAGGGCCCGTTGGGATCCGATCGGTCCGATTCCATGTCGATTCTGGCTGGCTCGATCAGATTCGACTCCGAAATTCGAACGTCCCGATTCGGTCCGATGTTTGCATGGCATTGTTCTGCATCCTGGCGCAGCCGATCCGATCCAACCTTGTTTTCGTACCGGTGCGGCCCGATCCGACGCAGTCCGATTTCCCGCTGCGATGCTGACTTCTGTTGCCCATGGATGTCCAAAGACACTTGGCAGGTGTATCGTGTCCGCCGGGGAACAAACATGTCGGTGATCGGTGTTGGAGCTCCTGGGTGCAGAACCCCCTCCGATTTAGGGACCGTGTCCGTCGGCGGAAGAGTAGTAGTCCAAGTCGCGTGCGAGTTGGCCGCTCAACATGCTCACAATATCTAGGGCGTCCCAGAAAAGGGATTCGCATTCGGCACGTCCTCGCCTTCGACGGAAAGCGGCGGAAGTAAACAACATTTGTGGGTTCCGTGCTGTCTGTCATCGGAAACCCGGCCCCACTATTTGCGAACGCTCACAATGCTCACAGGGCTGCGCAGGGCATGTCGGAGTACAGATGAGCTTCCTGGAGGGTTGTCAGTCATGCGACAATTGGGCCGTTCCAGAGGCTTCCGGCTGGTAATGCAGAAGCCTTCAGGCTGCGGCCTGGGGTCTCGCAGTCGTTTTGGGCTGGTCCTGGGCCGTCCTCGACAGTTCTCTTCCGTTGTTGGACCGCTTTGGGGGTATCCTGCAGACATCGCATACTTCGAGCCAGGAGGTAGCTTTCACAGACCAGGTGGAAGCTTCTTGGAGTGCTCCATGGCAGTGAGGCATGCTTTTTACGTCGGATCCATACGCATACATACACAAATACATACGTACATGCATACGCATACAGACCTACCTATACATATATATATATTTATACACATACATACATGCATACATACATGCATGCACACATAGATACACACATACAACCATACATACATACACACATACATACATACATACATGCATGCACGCATGCATACATACATTCATACATGCATACGTGCATGCATGCATACATGCATGTATGCACGTACGTGCATGTATCCACACGCTGACATACACGCATGCATACATTCATGCATGTATACACACAAACATACAAGCATCAATCCAAACATACATACACATACATGCATGCATACAACCGTGCGTGTATACATATACACACACTATGCATCTACATAAGCGTATGCATATACGAACACATTTCAACATGCATACACACATACATTACGACTGCACATACACATACACATACACTTACGCACATCACATTCATTTGCATATGCATCTGCGTATACATGTACATATACATATGCACACACACATTCATATACATGTGCATGCGCATGTACATACACATATGCTTATACATATACAGATTTGTGCATGCACCTATACACATACATATACATATACATATACATATGCATTTACACTTACACTGGCTTGAGCATATACGTATACAGATATACATAAAGTACATATACAATTACATTTACATACAAACACATATCGATCTCTCTAGAATTATATGTCTATACACATGCACGCACTGCAGATATATAGCTGTACTAATACAGCAAGGTCCCTTGCGCATAGAAAGCTGATCCTTGACAACTTCGGGCCTGGCCGGGGAGGCTGATTCGGGAGCGCCCCAGGAGAGCCCAAGACGGTCCCAGATGGCCCAAGACGGCCCCTGAGAGGCCGCACGAGGCCCCGACGAGCGCCCCAAGATGGCCATGATGGGCCCAAGATGGCCACTCGTCGACATCTGTAGCTGTTTTGGCTCAAGATGCGGAGCCGCCCGGCGCGAGCGGGTGCGCCCGCCCGAGGTCGGTGAAACATTTCCACGGAAAGACGCGGTGCCCTGGTCGCGATGGCGTTCAAGTGCCAGAGGTGGACGTTAGCCAACGCACTGCCGGTGATCTTCGTGCTGTGGATCATCGCGACGATCTACGGGGCCCACGCGTGGCTGCACCTGCGGCCCTTGCGGGAGCGCGACCCCTGCTCCTTCTACGTCGAGGCCGCCGTATCGAACACGCTCACGGCCCTGCTGCTGGTGTGCCTCGGCAGGGCCATGTTCACGGACCCCGGGTCCGTGCCTGACGTGCCCGAGTGGCGGGACGCGCAGGGTGGCGTCTGGGGTTCTTGGCAGGGCACGCGCGGCGGCCCGGTGAGCAGGGATCAGACGGGCGAGAGCGGCTCGGTGGTGCACGAGGTCAAGCAGACCGGCGGGCGCCGCTTCTGTAAGTGGTGCGACAGCTACAAGCCCGACCGCTGCCACCACTGCCGGGTGTGCAAGTCGTGCGTCCTGCGCATGGACCACCACTGCCCGTGGATCGCCAACTGCGTCGGCTTCAGGAACCACAAGTGTTTCTTCCTGCTTGTGCTGTATTCCTTCTTGAACTGTGCCTTCATCTTCGTGACCATGTCTCAGTCCCTCGTGCGGTCCCTGAGCCTCGAGTACCGTTCCTCCATGGAGCGTTTTTTGATGGTCTTCGGCCTCACGTTGGCTTGCATCATGGCGCTGCTTCTGAAGGCCTTCCTCAGCTTGCATATATGGCTGATGCTGAAGGCCACGACCACCATCGAGCTTTGCGAGAAGCGATCGCGGCAGGGCTGCTCCAAGCCGCTCCCCTGCTACGAGCAGGGAGCCTACGAGAACCTGCGCGCCGTGCTGGGGCCGAGCCCGCTGCTCTGGCTGCTGCCCGTGGCGCCCCCCGCCGGCGACGGCTTGCACTTCCCGGTGCGGGAGGCCCGCGCTTGCGCGGCCCAGGGCGCGGACGCGGGCGCCTCGGTGGGCGCTCCCGCCGGCGCGGCGGGGGGCGGCGGCGCGCTGCTGGGCCCCGAGGCGGAGACGGACGCCCCCGCGGCGCAGGGCGGGGAGTCCCCCGTCGCCAGGTGAGCGCCAGCGGGGCCGGCCGTCCTGTCCGTTCTCGCGTCCTCCCGCCGCGGCCTCCCACGATCCTCCCAGACTTCTTCGGCTCGCATCGCACGCGGGTGGTTGGCAAGCCGACGCGCAGGGTGCCTCATCTGACCCTGCGTGCCCGCGGGTGTGCGCGCGGGCCTTGGGCTTAAGTCGGCCCTGTCCCTCTACAGGAGGAATGTGCAAAAATAGTCAAAAAAATAGTCCAGGGACGATTTTTCCACTATTCCTGAGCATGGTTTGATTGTCTTTATTTTTCACGTGAGATCCACCTGTAGGAGGACATGCCCGACCTAACCTTGGGCCCGCCCCGCGGCGCCTTCGGGGGGGCCCAGGCACTTGCGGGCTTGTTGCCACAAAGGAAAACAAACCAACGGCGGCCACTCGACGCCACCACGGGCTCCCCAGATGGCACCAAGGGGGGGCCCGAAGACGATTCCCAAGATGCCCCCGGGAGGCAAACATACAAGGAGTTCCTGAGGTGTCGGTGCCATTTTCGCATTCTCGGCTTCTCGGTCTCCAGAGCGCTCGAGACGGCCGAAGAGGCCCCCGAGATCGCTCCAAGATGCAACGTTCCGTGGCACCTAGGACGCCACACGCTTTGTTTTGTTCGTGTTCCTGCTTTGCAGCAAGGAGGAGGAAAAGAAAGGAAAAGGAGGGGGAAAGGGGAAGGGGCAGAATGATGAGGTGCTGGGGGAAAGGCCGCGGGGAACACTTGAGCTTCCAAACCCAAAAAATAGAACACACCAAACCAACACTTGTCCCAATACAGAAAACTTCAGCTTCTCAGACCAGAAATACCCAAGCAGCATAACATAACAGTGTTTCATGACACCGAGGGCGCCAAACACTGTAACATGGTGTTCGGGATTTGTTTTGCAACAAGGACGGGGCAGACAAGGAGGAGGAGGAGGAGGAAAGGAGAAGGAGGATAATGAATCGTTATATAAGAGAAAGGAGAATCCGAAGAACGAGCTGTGTGCAGAGAAGCAGGAGGGGGAAACGAAACGATGAACGACGAGTTGTGTGTGGAGAAGCAGGGGGAACAGGAGAAGAGAGAGAGAGAGAGAAACGGAGATAGAGAGATAGAGAGAGATAATCATAGCAATCAAAAGAGGAGCTGCAGGATGATGGAAAGCAGAACATGCACGACCAGGTTGGGACGCTACCGCATCTGCTACCCCACCTGATCGTACATACTCTCCTTCCCGTCGTCTTCTACATCTCCTTCATATTATTTCATACTTGCTTCATCGAGCATTCGTTGGTTTCGTCCTCACCGCGAGTGGTTCGGCAGCGCTGGTTATCAGAAGCCCGTCGGTTTGTATTCTCTGTTCGATGATGGGAGGACGAAGGGATCGACGACTCAGAAAAGCAGCTAGATTCGAATTTGATTACAATAGGTATCCATGTGGAATCAGCAGGGACTAGGATCTGCTCAGTTCAAGTCCACCTGCAATCTATTTCGGTTACAGTACGATTCAGCTTAGAACGTGCTGGGCCTGGTATCTGCTACACTTCAATAATATTCCATCACATCCGAATCGGATGTCACTAGGAACCAGCTGTATGTGGGGCGTGCTAAATTTTCATAAGTTCTAATTCGACGCCTATCGGAAGCAGGTTCGAATCAGTTAGATATGGGATTTGCTCCATTCTAACTAATTTCAAATAGGGAACACGTGGACTCAGTTGGATCTGGGATCTGCTCAATTCCAATTCGATTTTAATTGCACCCCAATGGTATGCCCAATCGGAACCCAAGAGGAATCAGCTGGATATGGGATCTACCCGATTCCAGTTCGATTCCAACCGAATATATTTGGAATCAGCGGGATATGGGACCTGCTCAGGTCCAACTAGATGATTAAAATATCCCAATCGGACTCCAATGTCAACTTGCTGGATATGGGAGTTACCCAATTCCAATTCGAGTTTAAACTGGTGCCCGTTGGAATCCAGTTGGCATCAGTTGGATCTGGGCCCTGTTCCATTCCGATGACATTCTATCCATATTACAATGGGAATCAAGTGTGAATCAGCTGGATCTGGGATCTGCTCAAGTCCAATAGGTTCGAATCAAATTCAATAGGAATCCAATCATGATCAACTGTATCTTGGACCTGGTCCATTCCAGTGAGATATGTTTGCTGGATCTGTCTGGATCCGTCCGATTGCTTCCAGTGTTTGTTTTGGATAAGTTTCGTCTCCCTCCGCCCCTCGTCCCTCCGCTCGCCCTCAACCTCAACACCGGCGCCACGACCAGCATAAGCATGAACATCATCACCACAATCGTCATGTTCATACATACTTGCCATTGCGATCAGCATTTTGATCCACATCCGATCCTGGGGTCTGGTAACAATTTTCTGCATCATCACGACCGCTCCCTCATGCAAACTCGTCATAACCCTCCACGGGACCTCTGTCTCGCCAACATCATGCACATCATCCTCGTGACCCGCTTCATTATCACCACCGTCATCATCACCATAGCCATCATCATCATAATCAACACCAGCATCGTAATCAATAACCTTCGAATCATCATCATCATCATCATCATCAGCAGCAGCAGCATCATCATCATCATAGTCACTACCACCTTCTTCATCGTCTTCCCTCATCCTTATGCCTCTCTGCCCTATCCCCTCTCCCTCCTCCCCCTCCTCCCTTCTCCCTCCCCTTTCCCGCCTCCTCCTTCCCTTTTTCGTTATATTTGTTTTGTTTTCTCTCTCTCTCTCTCTCTCCTCTCTCTCTCTCTCTCTCTTTCTTTCTCTACCTCTCTTCTCTGTCTCTCTCTCTCTCTCTGTCTCTCTCTCTCTGCCTCTAATCAACCGCCCCCCTCTTCGCTCCTTCTCCCCTGGCGTTTTCCATCTTCCTTCGTCCCTCCCCCTTTTTTTTGAAGGGCCCACACTAATTCCAATGGCGGGCACATGTACGCCCACGAAGGATTGTCCGCCCGTTCAGGTTTGCCCACCTGTCTAAGCTCGCCGCCCCCTGCAAAGAGAAAGAGTCCCCCCAAGGAGGTGTGATCGAAGACAAAAATGGCGGGTATCGAGGGTGTGGGGAACTCGTTTTGAATGACACGAGGGCAGGTAAGAGCGAACCGTCTTAGAATGATTGTTGTTGTGGTTGTTGTAGTGGTTGCTGTTGGTGTGGTTGTGGTTGTGGTTGTTGGTGTTGTTGTTTGTTGTCGTCGTCCCGCCCGCGACCCACCCGCGACCAACCCCGCGACCCACACCGCGACCCACCCCGCGACCCACCCCGCAATCCACACGCGACCCAGACCGCGACCCACCCGCGACCCACCCTGCGACCCACCCGCGACCCACCCCCGACCCACCCCGGGACCCACCCGCGACCCACCCAGCGACCCATCCGCGACCCATCCGCGACCCACCCGTGACCCACCCCGCGACCCACCCGCGACTCAGCCTCAAGGGAGGAAAAAACACCCGGACCCGACAATTGACGTTTACTCAACGGCCCTGGGCGTTTACTAAACAGCCCTGCCCTGTTCGATTCGTCCCTTGCGTTTACTTAACGGCTTCGCTTGTCGGGGTGATTATAATGGGGTGGATTTTCTGCCCATGTACACCCGCGACCCAACAGCGACCCACCCGCGACCTACCCACATTGGTTCAACGAAAAAATCGGCGCTTGCGTCGGGCTCGTTGCACGATTTGTGAAAGTTTGGCGCCTGCGGCGGGCTTCTCCAGAGTCTCGCAAACTGCCGACGCCCCCACCGCCCCCTCACTCTTATCCGCATCTGCGGGGTGCTACGTATCGCCGCCCCCCAGTATCGCACCACCACCCCAATATGCCTTTCTCCCTCCCCCCCCCTAATATCGCCCCCCCCAGTAACAAGCATCCGGCCCAGTCCGCTCGCTGCGCTTCTCGCGCCACCCTGGGCGACCCGAGCCGAGCGGGAGCTCCCGTGCACCGAGCGGCCATGGGCAGGGAGGGGTGCGCGCCGTGCTCTCGGGCCCACGGGGGCGAGGAGGGCAAGCTAGACGCGCTCGCGCCACATCTGACATCCTGCCCCTCCCCATCCCTTCCCATCGCGCCGATTGTTGTTCCATCCGCCAGCGGGTGTCCTAGCGGGGGGGGATGGGGGGGAGGAGCAGGAGGGAGGGGGAGGGTAGGGGAGGGACAGAGGGAGGGGAGAGGGATGGGAAGGAAGAGTGCTCGAGGAGGAAAGGAGGGAGAGGGAAGGGATGAAGGCAAGACAGGGTACAAGAGGGTAGAGGACGTGGAGGGGAAAATATAGGAGAGCGATGTGGGGAGGAGGAGGAGGAGGAGGAGGAGGATGAGAAGGTGGAAGATCAGGAGCAGGAGGAGGAGGATGACGATACGTGGGAGGAGGAGGAGGAGGAGGAGGAGCAGGAGGAGGAGGAGGAGGAGCATGAAGAGGACGAGGAGGAGGAGGGGGAGGCGGAGGCGCAGAAGGAGGACCATGGAGAGGAGGAGAAGGAGTCACTGACCCTTGCGCTCTTTCGGATATATGACGCATTATAGCACGCGTACCTCATGCTGCTCTGATGCTGGAGTTCTCGCCCGCGTATTCGAACAACCTGCGATTGCTCTGATGATGCTTCGCTGCTTTCCGTTATTTACGCGCTGCCACGGTCTGCGTAAGAGCCTTAGCGTGCGCGAAGCGCACGCGTGAATCTAGAATCATGTAGATGTAACCAAACACATGCTCGGGGTTTGAACCTCATGACCGCTGTAAACGCCATGACATGCCGTAGGCAGTGTGGCCCAGTGAAGTCGGTCTGCGAGGCCCCTTGTTGACATCAGGCAGCCTCGCGGCTTGATCGGGCAGTCCAAAATAGCATCCCCGTGACCCGACACGGCCCCACAACAGACAGACAATGGAAACATATTCATCCAAGAATCACTGCAAGATGGTGATGTGCATGCCGAGCCTCGAAATAATGATCCCTGTGATGGGGGCCCCTCCGCCCATTGGCGAGAAGTCTTGTTGGAGATGGCACTTTCTGATCTTCGGCGAGTTGGATCCAGCAGGCGGTCGGCGAACGGCCGGCCGCGCGGGAAGCGCACACAGGGACAGGACGGGAGGAGCGAAGGGGGGAGGGCCGTCGGACGGGCGGAGCGCACGCAGGGCATGAAGCACGTCGGGCTTAGCATCGCCCGGACGTGTGCATGTTTCCCGAGTGGGGCCATCGAGGAGCAGGCTGAGCCATCTTGCGAACTGCACGCGCGAGGTCGACAGATGCACGGGGAAGGGACGCCCGAGCGATGGCCAGCGGGAGGCTCCCGAGTCAGGCTGATCGGGCCCAACCTGCGGGAGATCCCACCTCAGCCTTCAAATAATGTGGCGCGGGGCCACGTTGCCCCGGACCCAGGTATCCACTTGCGCCGCCGCATGAAGCCGCCACCGCGCTCCAGCGGGCGCTTGGGGGGGGGGAAGGGGGGGCGCCCAGAGAGTAGATTGGTGTATGAAATGGAAAGACCAGCTACCTATGTATATATATATATATATATGTATGTTGATACATGTGTATATATATATATATATATATATATATATATATATATATATATATATATATTCGTATATACATATATGGGATCGAATATTTCCATTGAGGTGCAAGATTCCTTTCATGTGCCGGTGGCATTGGTACATTCAACGGTTTCCTGCAACAGCTCTCTTCCTCAGGAGTCGAGGAGGTCTCCTGGGGGCCTATGCGGTCCGTTGTGGGGCTGTCTTGGGCTCCTGTGGGCAGTATGGGGGGTTTGTTGGGGCCCTTCGGGGCAGTCTTGGGGCCCTCCTGTCCATGTGGGAGGTGGGGACTCCTTGGGTCCTTCTGGGGCCGTCCAGAGTCCCTCTTAGGCTGTCTTTTGGATCCCTCGGGAAGCCCTGTTGGATCAGATTGGACTTGTGTTGTGGCCGTCCTCGGCCGTCTAGGGGCCCTCTTGGGGGCTTTCAGTGGGCCCCGTTGGGCCCTCGGACCGCACATCCGCAAATGGGCCGATCTTCGACCCAATAGTGCGGAAGCGCATTGGGGGTGTCCTTGGGCATCTGGAGGCTTCTGGGGATCTAGCTGGCGCTCGTCAGGGGCCAGGTCTTGAGGCAGTTGTGGGCCATCCTTGCGCCCTCGGTGGCCTTCGAGGGCCACTTCGGAAGCTTTGGGGAGTGCCCTGGAGCGCTCTGGAGATGCGCTGGCCTCCTGGGGAGCCTTGGGGGAGGGGGCCAGTGCACGCGGGGAGGTGTGTGAGACAGTAAGTGGCGGAAGTTTTCGCTCGTCTTGCATTGCATGTATACTGGCGAATACCGCCCAATGATGCTCAGTAGCGCCAAATAGCTGCCAATAGCGCCCATTAGCTCCGAACAGCGTTCAAATGGAGCCCAATAGGGACCAACAGCGCCCAATAGCGACGAATAGCGTCCCATAGCGTCATGCGAGGGAGATGCATTGTGTCCGCCTCGCCCGCGATTGGCGTGGTCTTGGGCGCCATGGGGACGACCAAAAGCTTCCGTGAATTGTTTCGTAAAGATGTGTCAAGGCGGGTGGGCGGGTCATTTGAGAAGACTTCGGGTCAGGAACGTTCGCGAAGCGTGTCGCGCGGCCGGTTCTGACCCGCCACGTTTCGGCGCGGTATGCTAACCATTTCCCAGTTCCCGATTGTCAACGTCCCGAGCTTGTCCCAGACTCCAGCCACGGGGAGCGGAGCGACACGCTACCCGTTTGCAGGGCATAGCCTGTCGCCAGGGCCGCCGCCACCACACGCCAAGCAAATTCTCCTGACCGCGCAAAAGCCAAACCCCATCATACAGCACCAGACACTATCGTAACGCGCCTGGGTGGCAGGGTAACGGGTAATGGGAAATTCCTCGTCGGTTGCCGTGTGTGCAGGGACTCGCTGCCAACAAGCGAACGCATGTTGGGCTCGGTACGCCGGAAGGGGTCAAACTATGGTTTCGCAAGAAGCGATGCTACCAAAAAATGGGGGGCCGAGACGCGCACACGCACACACGCACACACACACACACACTTTCACATACTAACACACATTGACCAAGCAATCGCGGGGAAGGATGGCCACACCGATGCTCATACCCGTAGCGCTGCTAGGCAATCGTAATTATCCATGTGATCATAGCGACGGGGTCTCTGAGGAGGCCAACTGGACCGCCCAGGAAAGTGTTACCTGGCAGCGACTTGTGATGTCACGATGTCGTCTTCGCGCGGGAAGATGTCCGATCGTCTTGTTTGATCATGCCCGTGTGTCCTGGAACCAAAACACGGGGTGCATCTGAGAAATGCATTGGGAACGCTCGCCAATTCGAAGCCATCAGCCTGTTCTCGCGGGATAGTTTGCGGATCATGTGTGTATATCCGTTCGCTTGTCTGTCGTCGTGGACACACACAGTGATGTTGCGATGATGCAGGATGATTGGGCGAGTTGTGGGGAGAAGAGAGGAGGCGATGCGAGGTGAGGGGAGGGGCATGAAGGCGAGGCGATGATTGGAGAGGGGAGCATGGATGTGAAGAACGAAGAGATGGGTTAGAGGATTGGAAAAGACATGGGATGGTGGATAAGGCCGAGTGGCTCGGCTTCTCCTCACTCACCCCACTCATTGCTACGGAGGGAAAGGGTCCTGCGGGGCTCTCCCAGGACCAGCTCAGCTTTTCATGCTAAGGCGTTGTTGACAGTCATCAGGCCAAGGCAGGGCGAGGTCAAACATTGCCAAGAGATTTCAGAGCCGGCCCCTTTTCGTCCACGCCCTCTTCAGAGCTGGCTGCTATCCGTCTGTCCGTCAAAGCCGTGCCCCTACCCGTCCGTGCCCTATCCGTCCGGCTCCTTCGGCCCCCCCTGACCCAAGAGGCGCAGCGACGGAAGGCGCGCAAGTACGCAGGCATCGCTATGAAGCAGCGGATCCCGCATTTCTCAGCTGAGGACCCTGCTTACCCCGCGGGTGCAGTGTCGGTTGGGGGGCGGTGGCGGGCGCCGCTGCCGCGGCGTTCCGGGTGGCCCACTGTTGGCCCCGCCAGGCTCTGATCGTCAAAGCGGCAGGGACACCCTTGAAAAAGGCCACTGGTAATTTGACAAAGACAGCAGAACATTTTCGCTTTTCTCGGCCTCCGGCCACTTCTTTCTGGCCCCAGGGCGATCAAACAATTGTCTTGAACGGCGGACAGGTCCCGTGGGAAGGGGTTGGGAAGTCTATGGGCTTCGTCTTGAAGCAACCACGGCCTCAGATTGGCCCAACTCGCTCCTTCGATGGCGAAGGAAGGCAGCAGTCCGGCAGGCCTGGGACGAAGACACATTGCACTAGAGCTTCCCATAACGTTTTGAGCGCTGTCCTGAGCCCTCTCAACTGGCCGCGCCGCCCGACATCTCCTCCAGACCCGCCAGTTCTCAGAGATCCCCGATCTGCCCCGGCCCGGAATTACTCCAAACCGAAGTTGACGCCCACAGCGCCAACCATGACGACGGGGGCGAGACAGGCTTGCCGAGAGGGTGCCGCGACTCGTGGGGGGAGGCATGTCGTGGGGAACGGCCTCGATCGCAGGCCGCGGAGGCCGCCGAGATGCCGCGCCCAGTCCCAGCCCTGGCCCTTCCACCCCCCGCCCCCTTGCCAGGGCCGCCCGCGGGCGCGGCCGTCGGGAGCGGGTGCACCAATTGGGCCATCGTCTGTCATGAAGGAAACGGCCCCGAAGGTTTGCGCAGTTTGTCATGCTTCCGAGGCCCGCCCCGGCCCCGGGGCCGTCGGAAAACGATTCGTCGCCATGAAGGAAACGGGTTCTGAGGGAAACGGGCCGCAGGGTTTTGCGCAGTTCTTCGCGCTTCCGAGGCCCTCCCCGGACCTCGAGGCCGGCAGAAAGCAGCCCGGGAAACATAATCGGCCCTGGGGGAAGGCCCGCAGGGCCCAGGACCTGTTTCCCTCGGGACCCGCCCTTTTCATGCCATGCTTATGTCGGGCCTGTCCCCCTACAGGGAGATTTTCGACGAAAAATGAAACATACCCCCAACATGCCCCAAAAAGGTCAAGAAATATTCAAAAAATAGTCCCCAGACGATTTGTGGAGTAGTTCTTCATTATTTTTGGGGTATGTTTTATCTTTCGTCGAAAATCCCCCTATATTTAGGGGGATAGGCCCGACTTCATGCCATGCCCGGTCTGAGTATGTTTTACTTTTCGTCGAAAATCCCCTGCAGGGGGATAGGCCCGACTTCATGCCATGCCCGGTCTGAGCAGCAGCGGCGCGCGCACGCGCCGCTGCGCGGGACCTCGGGCCGCAGCCCCGCGTGCTGCCGCGCGGGCCCGCGGCGCGAGCGGCGGGGCCTCCCCGAGAGCCGACGTCGCGGGGGAGCTCTTAGCCTTAAGTCGGGCCTGTCCCCCTGCAGGGGGACCTTCGACGAAGAATAAAACATACTTCAAACATGCCCCAAAAAAAGGTCAAACAATACCCCCAACATAGTCCCCAGATTATATTTTGTTTTTTTGGTTATGTTTGGGATAGTTTGTAATTTCTCGTCGAAAATCCCCCTGTAGGGGCACAGGCCCGACTTAACTCTAGCCATCCTGGCACGTCACAGCCGGGCCTTTCGATCCCGTTTTCTTGCGGCAGTCTTCGAGCTGGACCGACCCGCGAAGGCCCCCAGGGGCCCGAGCCCGGGCGCGGGCGCCCGGTGTGGAAATGTTCCGGCGCTTCTGGGTAGCAGTCAGCCGCGCGCAGGAAAGGGAGTCCGGGCGGGGTGGGGAAGCCTTCTTAAGAGCACCCCTGCTCCTCAGAAGGCGCGGGCTCAGTCTGTAGATGTAAGATGGCACCTTCTGAGAAGCAACGCTTTCTAAGCAGCCTTCCCCCCTCCCCCTGCCCATTTATGAGCGCCGCCATAGTCAGGCCCAACGTCCCGTGAGCAAGAAAGATCCATTGTCTCTGGCATACGCCTGCATTTGAGTTGCTGGCGCAAGGCGGACGCATTTGCGCGGCGGCGCCTGGTTGCGGCGGTCGCGTAGGTGGCTCGATCGCGGGCGCGCTGGCAACAGCGGCGCCGTCGTCGTCGAGGTCGACGACGACGTCGTTTTTGGATGGAGAAAACAGTACAAACATTCATGTTTTGAGTTTCGCATGGGTTTCTTGGATTGGCGATGTGCTTTCCTGGCGGCGTTTGTTTTGACGCCGCTGGCGCATTCCCAGCGTAGGTCCAAGAAAGATTTGCGGACCTCCACAAGCTTGGTCAAGAGAAAATCCCTTCGCGCGCGCGGGATTGCCCGCGCCCTCCAGCTGGCGGTTTCCAATAAAACGCCCGGTGGCGTGCGGGCGCGGGTCGCAGCCGACGGCGTTCCCGTGGGCGCAGGGAAGGGCTGCAACGCTCGCCCTTTCGGTCTCTTTGCCTGCCAGGCAAGGCGCGCGGCCGCGCCCGAGTCATGCCGGGACCCTCGGTCATGCGCAGGCCTACACAGGCGCGGTTGTGATGCGCAGGCCCGCGGCGGCGCGGCCGTCGCTCCGCCTCCGCGCAGGGGACAGCCGCATGCGCGGGCGCGGCCGCGGCCCACGTCGAGCAGTTCAGAAACCCAAGTCGAGGGGTCGGAGTGTTGCCGCCAGCCGCAGCCGTTCGCGAGGCGCCTCCGACTCCCGCGTTAACCGAGGAGGCAGCCTCGGCACAGGCCTTGCTCGGGCTGAACCTTAGGCGAAGCCCCGCAGGAGTGACAATCTGGAGGAGGGCGACTTGAAGCCGATCGGAGAGAACATTGGTTTCAATGCCCCCGGCTGGCACGAGGGGTGCTATCCAAGGGTTCCCGCGCTCGTCGAGACGCGGATCACCGCAGGCTTCGAGGGAGGCGGGTTCGTCGCCTAAGTTCACGCAGGCCGCTGTCAACGCGAAGAGTTTGCGAGGCGATCCCGAGCGTTTCGACTTCGACGCGGTCTTCGGGGGGGGGATGGTGCTTCTGCGCGGTCGATAAGCAGGACGAACGCGAGATGTCGCGCGCCTTCCAGAGCGACGGCCCGTCGCCCATCCACTTCTGTGGCCTCGATGAGGGCCCCGAGACGTTCGACGGCGCAGAAGCGCATGGCGCGCCCACGCTGCATCGTCCGAAGTGGCCCTGCGCCGGGCGCTCCTTTGAGGACTACCGGAGCGACCAGCGCAGGATGCTCGAGAGTGAGAGGGCCAAGATCTCTCCGAGGGAGCACCCTGCCGCTGACGCGAGCAAAGAGCTTCGTGTCCGTGGCTTTTAGCTCTCACAGGTCAAGGCTTGCTACCGAAGGCGCGCTAGGGCCCCGAGGAGGCGCGAGCGCTCGCGAAGGGGCGCCTGGCGAGAGGGGGCCCGATATCCAGGATTGCTTGACCAACCGCAGGCAGAGCGTCAGGGAAGATCGTGAAGGGGCG